GGGGGGGTATGGTGAGGGGGTGCTATTTGAACCTCTGCCAGGGTAGCATGTGCCAGCCTGGGAGGGTGGCACTGTGCCCTAGTGTCTAATTTCTAGAGGTGTGAGTAGGTTCAGTCAGCTGGGTACCTACTTCCATTTCCCTTAAAGGGGCAGAGGGAAGTCAAAGGGCATGGCTAGCTGTGCTGCCCTCCTTCTGGGCTTGGTGGGTAGAGGGCAGAAGTGTAACTGGTAAAGGGCCCTTAGGTGGGGGTGTGATGTTCAGGGGTTGGGAGAGTCTGAGGCCTCCATTCTTGGCATGTGGCTGCTCTTCCCCACACTGCAAAGAAGATAAAGAAGAGGCGGCTGGGACCCAGGTGGCAGGGCATGGCAATGTTCCCAAGCCAGGCTGTGCCTCCCCCTGCCCACAGAAAAACTGAGAAAAGAAAGGAAAGGAGGGAGGGAGGAAGGAAGGAGCCATAATTTGGGTGGGAGCGAATGGGTCAGAGAGGGTAAAATACACAAGGATGAAGGTTTGTGTTGGCACTACTACTAACACCTTATAGGTAAGAGGGTTGGGAAAGATGTTCCGTTTGCCTTTTCTCAGGCAGAGAGGAACAGCAGTAGTGTGAAGTCACCTTGACCTGGCTGCCTGGAAGGCTGTGAGCAGGGTATCTCGCTTGGCGAGCACTGATAACTCTCATTCTCTTCCATACTTACTGTCCCCAGCATTTTGTCAGCACCTGTCCCTGCCCCTACCACTCCTGGTAAAGTCCTCTGGCCCCAGGCAATGCAAAGCTAATGAAAGCTGTTGGGAGAGGAGCTAGGGAAGAAGGGATGACTGAGGGTGGCACTCAGGATCCAGGCAGGAATGGGGGTGGTTTGCTGACCCAGGGCCCCCGCCTGGCCTCCTTGGCAGCCTCAGTACCTCCTCACTTCACTTTAACGCTAATTGGAGATTTTAATCTGCGCTGCTGCTCTGCTCGGGGTGCTGGGGGGAGCGCCAGCTGTGCAGTAATTCCAGCAGCACCGACTGTTTAATCAAGCTGTCCTCCTGGGGAGGGGCCCTCGGGCATGGGGGTAGGAGGGAGGAGGAGAACCTCTGTCATCTCCCTTAGCCTGTTCAGCCTGCAAGAGCTTCATGGAGACTGAGGATCAACTGTGGGGTACCTCATCCCCATAAGGGCTCCATGGCCACCTGAATCCCTAGCAGAGCCATTACACAGTATGAGGTCAGTATGAGGCTCATGGGCCTCCCTCCCCATCCTGTTTTTTTGACACCGTTTTTGGCCCAGAGCCCTGGAATGTCCCGAGGTATCCTCTACCCACTCAGGCTACAAACATCTACCAGACCATCTTGAGCTCTGGGGGCTGAACTTTCCCACTCTCTGTCTTCTCGGTCCTCTCTCCCACACTCTCTCACTAACAAAGATACTTCTCTTAAAACAACTGTAAGAGATTTTTCTCTCTGAAAAGCACAGGTACTTTCACCCTCTGGTCTAAAATGTAACTGTCTTAGAGGCGGGGAGATTGGAGTGGCCAGCTGAAGGCTGCTATACCATGAGGGAGAGAAGCACCTGTGCAAGGTGTTCAGTGCCTAGAGCTAGGGGGCTTCCCCAGTTCAGCTGGGACATACTACTGAGATATCAGGTGACTAGGGCAAAATGTTCAGGGTTGCAGGCCATTTTTAAGGAAGAACAAGTGGTATTTATAATTCTTTTGGATTCTTAGGCCCCAGTCTCAGGCTCTCTTGGGATCTTTCTGACCTCTCTCTGTCTTGGGAAAGGATGCCCTCATTGCCCAAACCCTATCTGCTAAGGGGCAGGAGCTTTAATTGGTCAGCAGCACCCTCGTGTGGCAGACACCAAGACTGCAGCTGCCCAAGTGGCCCAGCAGCTTTGGGGCATCAGCCAGGTTGACAGACAGGTGGGCAGGGTTATAAATGTTGGTGTTCTCTGTGCTATCAATGTACCCCATGCATACTTATTGCTCGACCACTGCCAGGGGTATTTCCTGCTTTCTAACACCTGCCCTGTCCCTCCATCTATCCCATCCTAACTCCAACTCAAGGTATGTACCTATAAGGGAAGGGAGCCCCTTACCCAGAGCTGGCACCTGTTTAAGCCTGCTGCTTGTGCTGTCTGGATTGCAAGCATGAAAGAGGCTCTGCTGAGAGAGGAGACCTAAGGTCAAAAGGGTAAACTGATGTCACCTCCAATGGCAGGCGAGGCTCTGGCACCCCTGCCAACTCTCTATAGGCACCAGACAAGAGCTACTATCTGAGCTCAAGATAGAGTACCACCTAGTGGTGGATTCTGCCTTACAGCAATCCATTCTCCACTCCCTGAGGAGGCATGGGAATGAATAGAGAGAGAATCTTCAGAGTCTGAGATCCTATCCTCACAGATAAAACACCTTTCCTCAAAAGATCCAGAAACTCTCTAAGTATGCCAGGCCCCCGAGCAGAATGCACAATTGGGGCTTAGACTTCTAGCCCCAAAAGAAGGGCTGCCTGTTTTAGACGTTTCCCCTCCAGTGTCAAATACCATCTGCTTACTGGTCACTTCTTCCCACAACCCCTAAATGGGAAAAATGGTTCTGAACCATAGAAAGGGGATGGAGATTTAACAGGAAGTTCTCACTAAAGATTAGGGTCGGAAGCCACGCAGGCAGAGAACTGAGTCACTAAGAGCTTCCTCTTGTTGAAGATATTTCACAACAGAGAGAAATACTCGGGGTTGGTGAGCAGGGAGAGGAGCACACCTACCTGGCAGCAGGAAGGGTGGAGGTGAGTACTGGAGGCTGGTCACCTGCCCAGTTCTGGACATTGAGGATGGAGAGAAGCACCCTGTAGGCTTCTACTTTTGGTGTCTAGCACAATGTTTGGATAGGTGGATCTCACATCTAACCTGAGGAGGTAGAGAAGCTGATAAGAGGCAGTAAGAAGGGACAGCATTGCCCTATCCTGACTTAAAGGGAGAGAAAATAGCTTTTTGGGAAGAAGGCAGGGCTATGTGTATGTGAGGTAGTGGGTGAGTGGAGCAGGTGTTGCAGAGGAGAAGCTGAGAGTAACTGACATCAGCATCCCACTGTAGAGGAATATCCATTAGCACAGCTGGCCAAGAGAAAAGAACAGAAATGAAATGACTGTCGATGTTAATAAAGGGAGTTACCCGCTCTAGCCAGGAGGGAGAAATTGTTAATCAGAAGGTAGGATACCATAATAGGGTCAAACAAAAAGCTAAGGAAACACCTCTGGAGATCTTTGGGAGAATGTGTGTGTGTGTGTGTGGTGTGTGATGTGTTAGTCCCTTACAAAAGCTGACCTCTGATTAATCTTAGGTCCCTACCTGGCTTTAGTCTGTGAAAAACACTGAATTTTCTAGGGCTCCATGTATCAGGTGACTGATGGACATCACAAAATTCCTCAGGGGCCATCCCTCCTGCTGCTACGGCCACCTGTAAAAGAAAATGACAGGATATATTAGACATGAGACAAGGGACTAGACACCAAAGAGGGTCTCTGGTTTTTTACCTAGGAGCATGGCTTTGGTAGGTTACAGTAATGATGACAGTCACCATTCTTCCAATTTTCTCCAACCTGAACATGAAGCCCAGAAAGATTCATGAACCTTAAATATTTTCCCAGAGAGAGTTTTAGTCCTACCTCCAGGGAACTAGTTCCCAGTCTGATAAAGTAAAAACCATGGTTCCTATATTGAAGGGGTAAATTAAGAATTCAATAGAAATAGAAGCTGTGAAATTCCAAATTATAAAAGGCAATGAAGGTTCAGGGTGAAAGCAGTTAATGCAAGAAGGTGACTGGAGAAGGCCCTTTAGTTTCAGATAAGATCAACAGCTTGAACTCAAGTTTCTCTTGTCCAAAACTGCTTCTTCAAGAAGAACTTGGAGGCAAAAAAGCAAAGGTCCTGCCTGGCAGGGCGTGGCTCAGCGGTTGAGCATCAACCTAGGATCTGGGAGATGGCGGTTCGATTCCAGGTCAGGGCACATGCCCGGGTTGCGGGCTCGATCCCCAATGGGGGGCGTGCAAGAGGCAGCCGATCAGTGACTGTCTTATCACTGATGTTTCTATCTCTCTCTCTCCCTCTCCCTCTCTCTGAAATCAATAAAGATATTAAAAAAAGAAATTTCCTGTGAGACAGAAAAGATGTTTGCAGGACAGCAGACACGATGGAGTTATAGTACGCAGGTCTATCATACATTCCCTAGATCACCGATTTTTAAGCCTTTTCACTTCATGGCACATAAACTAATTACTAAAATTCTGCAGCACACCAAAAAATATATTTTTTATCAATCTGACAAATAAAATAGGTATAACTTTGATTCATTCACACCAATGGCAATTGTTGTGTTGGCTGTTATCATTTTTTAATTTAACAATCTAAGGGGAAAGAGGTCAGTGCCCCTGACTAAATAGTCAGGTATTGCATGTTTTAAATATTCTTGCAGCACACCAGTTGAAAATCGCTGCCCTAGGTAAAGATAAATTTGCATGCGGACCAACTCCACATTCCTCCTATGCTGTCAGTTAGGGTGTGATGGAGAAAATGTAAAGGCTTTGTACTAGGATCTATTTATTTGTCATCAGCAATGTTCATCTTGCAGACCTGCTGCCCCTCTGACCTGGTCATATAACTCTATCTCTAAGTAGCCAAGTGGTGCCTTTCTCCCTCCAAGATTCTGCTTCCAGTTTAGGGACCCTTCAGCATTCCCCTCTCTGATCATCAGTGACTCCCAGGGTCAGATGCATAAGCTTTGGAGGGACTTACAGATATATCTAGGGGAGGTCCAAAGAAGGGAAGGCAGTCTCAGCATCAGAGTAAGATGACTTTAGAACCTGCTGTGCCTGTGAGCCCACTGAGCACACTCTTTAGGGCTTAGGTCACTGTGGAGCACCACAGCGAGAGAAAACCAACAGCTCAAAACTCTACATAAATAATAAAGTTCCCCACCCCCAATTTCTCTTTAAGAGAACATCCCATTTTACTCAGAGTTCTATAATCCCCCCATCTCATTCAGAGACTCCCCTTAGTTTCCCAGCAGGTGAGATGTGTTTTGTTTCCCCCTTCCTTCTGATTTTGCTTTTTAATATAGCTGTATTGTAATGCAAAGAAGCCTGAATGGAGATGTAGGGTAAATTCCTCACATTGCCTCAGAGGATCTTTTCTGGCTATCCAACCCCCAGAGATGGTGGCAAAGTGCTCCTCTAACTTGGGGTAACTCTGATGGCATTAGGATCTTTGGCCATGGCTGCTACTTGCTTCCCAATAAACTAGAACCCTTAACTCTAAATAAAAATTACACTTGTATAATTTGCATGTCATTGAAATGTTAGTTTTTGAGGTAAAAACATATAAAGCCTCTTCTCAGTTTTTCTAATTTTTTCATATTTCCCTTTCCCCCTCTCCCCTCAAAATCTAACAGCCCTACCTTCCATTCCTAAGAAAGCTCAGGGCTCTCAGGAGTTGGTGATTTTAAAGCTTGGGGGCTCTATACTCAGATTAAGATTCTGGCCTCTTGGATTCTAGTCTTGGCTGGCTGCCACTACCTACCTCACTATGAAACTGTGGACAAGGCACTTCTCTTCCCTAAGCCTCAGTTTCCAACTCTGTAAACTGAGAGGTTGAATTAGGTGATCTCTAGGATCCCTTTCTAGCTCTGGCCATTTATAATTCTATAAGGGAAAAGACATAAGTATCTTTCCATCAGGAAGTGAGACATTCCTGCCCTTAGCACCCTTTCTCTGGGCCAGTGCAATAAGAAGCTCCCCTGTAGCTGCCTGTCTTCCTCATGCTAGCTTAACTAGGGGACAAATAAGTGAGTTGGGAGGCCTTCTTTTAAGTGCCAAACTCCTTCAATTATGAAGATATTAAGATGGTGATCTAACTCTAACCATGAATCTCGATAAAGCAGGTAGGAAACAAGGCAGGTATAACGGGCAGGAAAGGGTATAATAAGCATGCCCCTCACAACACACAGCCTGAACTAGTTAAGAGTCTGAGCACACACTTGGCTTTGCCCTAGAGAGCCCCATATGAGTAGTGGCTGCTTATCCAATACAACTGAGTGTGGGCATGTGTAAACACATTCAGAGCATCAACATAAATGTCCAATCAATGCACATACACCCATTCTCTCTACTCTAGGCCTATATATGCCTTGTAAGAAGCTATGGTAGGAGGAAACCAGATCCCAGTCTTCCCCCTCCCCAAAGTCAGAAAGGAAGAGACAGTGGAGACAGGAGCTACTTGGCTTCCTATAAATTGTTTTGTCCTTCCTCACAGCTGCAATCAGATGTAAGGGCTCCCGCAGGCCTTGTTCTGATCTGCTGCAGGCGATGGAGGGTTTTTGAAACGAAGAGGACTTGGCTGCAGCCCCGTTTCAGCTGCCATTGGGGCTGGCTAATGGGCTCATTCGGGAAGACCCCCGCCTGCCGCACTAAAGAGTCCCCCGCCGACCCCCTCCCCAGTCCCAACCCAATTAATAAATGGGGGCTCCCACTTTATGGCTCTGGGAGCAGGAACCAGAGATACAAATGACCCCCAGGGAGGGACAGAAAAAGGCCTTCCAAGAATCAAGCCAGAGAATTGTGCATCCACAGGCACATGCTGCCACAGGCTAGTCACATCCCATTTTCAAAGCATTAAAGGGGAAGAAACTGGAAAAAACAACAACTGTATTTTCTTTCCCAGATGTGGAGTGGGATAGCATCTTCAAGTCTATGGGCACATCCCAGCAACTCTTTTACCTGGTTTCCAGCCTGAAAAGGGCAGAGTGCAGGTGATCCTCTAGGCACACATCAAGTACACAACTATTTTCCAGGGGGAATGCCCCCTCCTAGACTCTGCAATACTGAACATACACACATCTCATCAAGTGGTCAAGTAGGAAGTAAACACTTCCTACTCCTTAACAACAAAGCAGGTACCACTTTCCAAGCTCTCATCACCAGCAACAGCATAAATATGTCCTGGGGTCATCATCTTCAGGCTATATTTTATCCCTCCCCTCACATCCAAACTATCATCAAGCCTTGCTAATTCCCATGGACCCACTTCCTTTCTTCTCATTTAGTCTTACTCTAGTGCAGGCCCTCAGGGCTTTATATCTGAACCAGAAAAATGATATCCTAGGCAAGCTTTCCTGCTTCCTTCACCCAATACAGCTGCAAAAGTCTTCAACATCATATCCATCTCATCATGCTCTGCTGTTACTACTTACCAAATCAAATTTAAATTCCTCATTTGGCTATAAAGATTGTTCCTCTGACTTCATTTCCTAACACTCCTTTCCCGTACCACCCTGACTAGTCCATTCACGCCCTCTGCACAAAACAAAGATAAAACCTTCTTCCATAAGTTTTCCCCATAACCTTCTCTCTCTGTTCCATGTTCCCTACCTTCATTACCTTCAAAGAATCTTTTTTGGTTAACTCAATTTTTTTCCAATTATTCCTTTACTTTGGGTCCCCATTACTAATTTATTTTATAATCTGACTTAATAAATACCAACTCCCCACTTCCCACCCAGGTATGAGACTTATCTCACCCTAGACCCAGAAGCTTCCTAAAGGTGGGGCCCTCCCCTAATTTCCCCCCAGAAGTTGCCATGTACTCAGGACATGCCTCGGCTAATGACTTTACTGCTCCCCACTGAAAAAGCCCCCGTGGTATAACTCTTGGGGGTATATATCAAACAACTACAAGGAATACTTTCTTATTCTCAGTGTCCATTTTCAGGCTGTCACCTGCCCCTACCAATACTGAACTTGGCACTGAGTCTTTTCAAAATTACAAATTGTTTCATGACTTCAGTGTATTGCAAAACAATCAAAACAAACACAGCCACCAGAAGAATTTGGTTATCTCCTTGATTCATAGTATATAAACTCTATTTTCTTTGAAGACTCTTTAGGATGAGAAGCCCCATTTTGTTCCCTATTTCTAAGATTAATCGTATATTCTCAGGTCATGACCTAATTTTATAGAATGCAAATCAATCCAAGAGCCAATAGTAATCTTGTTCTCTGCCTCTAGACTACTTCTGACCATCACATTTTTTGAAAGGTCTCTAGGAATAGAGAAGTTATTAAAGAGTCTCTTTCAACTATTTAGTACTTCCTTAAATTAACCTCACTCTTAAACCTGACTCTTCACTTCCTCTAGTTAGGCCCTATGTGATTAGACAGGAAAAAGTTATCTGCCACTCCCCTGGATCTCCTACAGATGTTCAGGATAGTAAGATGAATCTGCTTTTTAATCTCTCCATCCCTTAGCTTCAAGGTGCTTAAGAATCAAGGTAATAAAAGCAAAGCTCTTAGCACAAAATTGTTTCCTGACAATGTTAGTTCCTGTTGGTTCTCCCTTCTTCCTGCCAACACCTTAGGTTTCTCCTTTCCGGGCCTGTTTTTTCACTGGCTAAAGATGGTGCTGAAC